ACCCTTAGTCGACAGCAAAAAAACCAATCGCACACACCCCCGTAATTTACACGGTAAAACCTTTCCAAGCACATCATAAGCCAGCGAACCAATGCGCCCAAAATTTTTGAGGGGAATCTCACCTATGCCGGCTTTGAAGGGGGGGGGGCACTTGCGGCTCACGAATTGGGAAAAAAAGGAAGATGAGACCGATCCCCGACGGCCCCCCTTTTTAGTATCGCGTCAATGTGGTAATTTTTGCTGTCAAAACAAAGGAGTCCCCTTAGGCGTACAGTGGGGGGAAAAAAAAAATTTAGTAGAAATTTTGGAATTCTTCCCCCTTAAAAAAAATGAAGAGGGGGTAATTTCATCATATACACGTCAATTATACAGACAAAATGGAAAAAAAACCAGAAAATCACATTTTAGATTTTTTAAAATTTTTTACAAAATAGGGGGAAAAAAAAGTATTTTGGGCACCTAAACAAGCAAGATTTTGGGTTCACAGACCTGAACTTCTTTTTTAAAAGGCTCCCCTGTCCTCCCCCGTTACCTGTATAATGGGCCCCGTTTTAATTTTTACAGTTAAAAGACACCTTCCCACAACCCAAAAAAGCACCCCCCCAAAACTCCACTATGGCCAAGACCAAAGAGCTGTCAAAGGACACCAGAAACAAAATTGTAGACCTGCACCAGGCTGGGAAGACTGAATCTGCAATAGGTAAGCAGCTTGGTTTGAAGAAATCAACTGTGGGAGCAATTATTAGGAAATGGAAGACATACAAGACCATGATAATCTCCCTCGATCTGGGGCTCCACGCAAGATCTCACCCCGTGGGGTCAAAATGATCACAAGAACGGTGAGCAAAAAATCCCAGAACCACACGGGGGGACCTAGTGAATGACCTGCAGAGAGCTGGGACCAAAATAACAAAGCCTACCATCAGTAACACACTACGCCGCCAGGGACTCAAATCCTGCAGTGCCAGACGTGTCCCACCTGCTTAAGCCAGCACATGTCCAGGCCCGTCTGAAGTTTGCTAGAGTGCATTTGGATGATCCAGAAGAGGATTGGGAGAATGTCATATGGTTTTTTGGTTAAAAAACTCAACTCGTCGTGTTTGGAGGACAAAGAATGCTGAGTTGCATCCAAAGAAACACCATACCTACTGTGAAGCATGGGGGTGGAAAACATCATGCTTTGGGGCTGTTTTCTGCAAAGGGACCAGGAACGACTGATCCGTGTAAAGGAAAGAATGAATGGGGCCATGGATCGTGAGATTTAAGTGAAAACCTCCTTCCATCAGCAAGGGCATTGAAGATGAAACGGGCTGGGTCTTCAGCATGACAAGATCCCAAAAAAACACCCCCCGGCAACGAAGAAGTAGCTTCGTAAGAAGATTTCAAGGTCCTGGAGTGGCCTAGCCAGTCTCCAGATCTCAACCCATAGAAAATCTTTGGAGGGAGTTGAAAGTCCGTGGTTGCCCAGCGACAGCCCCAAAAACATCACTGCTCTAGAGGAGATCTGCATGGAGGAATGGGCCAAAATACCAGAACAGTGTGTGAAAACCCTTTGGGAAGACTTACAGAAAAGTTTGACCTGGTGTCTTTTGCCAACAAAGGGATATAACAAAGTATTGAGAAACTTTGTTATTGACCAAATACTTATTTTCCACCATAATTTGCAAATAAATTCATAAAAAATCCTACAATTGTGATTTTCTGGATTTTTTTTCTCATTTTGTCTGTCATAGTTGACGTGTACCTATGATGAAAATTACAGGCCTCTCTCATCTTTTTTAAGTGGGAGAACTTGCACAATTGGTGGCTGACTAAATACTTTTTTTCCCCACTGTACTTGATCATAAGGTTTATTCATATCACAAGATTCCAGCATAAGTTTTACAGATGTCATGATCACCCGGAGAGCGGCGTCCCAGATTGCAATGGCCGCTCTAACTCTTCTTCGTTTTTACCCAGTATATTTAATCTTCCCAAGATATGGGTGGCTCCCTCTACTGTCCATCCCCTGTCTACAACACACACTTCCTCTCTGTTGTATGTGGCGTCACACTAAAACATTCCCTCTTGACACTAAAATAAACATCCTCTCAGGTTCCACTTAAAACCATTAACAAGTCATAAACTTCATATACTACAGTTTTAATTCAACAGTGCATTCGGAAAGTATTCAGACATCTCGACTTTTTCCGCTTTTGTTACGTTACAGCCTTATTCTAAAAGTGATTACATTTTTTTTCTCAATCTACACACAATACCCATAATGACAAAGCAAAAACAGGTTTTTTGAAATTTTAGCAAATTTATTACAAATAAAAAAAAACTATCACATTGCATAAGTATTCAGACCCTTTACTCAGTGCTTGTTGAAGCACCTTTGCAGCGATTACAGCATCGAGTCTGCTTGGGTATGACGCTATAAGCTTGGAAACACCTGTATTTGGGGAGTTTCTCCCATTCTTCTCTGCAGATCCTCTCAAGCTCTGTCTGGTTGGATGGGGAGCATCGCTGCACAGCTATTTTCAGGTCTCTCCAGAGATGTTAGATCGGGTTTCAAGTCCGGGCTCTGGCTGGGCCACTCAAGGACATTCAGAAACTTGTCCCGAAGCCACGCCTGTGTGTGTTTTGGGCTGTGGCTTAGGGTCGTTGTCCTGTTGGAAGGTGTACGTTCGCCCCAGTCTGAGGTTCTGAGCGCTCTGGAGCAGGTTTTCATCAAGCATCTCTCTGTACTTTGCTCCATTCATCTTTCCCTCGATCATGACTAGTCTCCCATTTCCCTGATGCTGCCAACCACCATGCTTCACCGTAGGGATGGTGCCAGGTTTCCTCCAGACGTGACGCTTGGCATTCAGGCCAAAGAGTTCAATCTTGGTTTCATCAGAGTAATACAGTTTACAGATTACTGAAAAAATAAATGGGGAGGAAGAAAAAAGGAGAGAACAACTGGGGAGGCATGAGAGGGAGAGGGTGAGGGAGAGGGTGAGGGTAGATGTAGCGTGTATCACAGTCACAAAGGCTTAACAGAGCGCTGCATCACGCAGGGAAACATCGGGTGATTACAATCAGATCCAGTCAGCACTGTCGTCTCTCTGTGGTCTGTGTATGTCCAGTGGAATCACACACACACCAGCCCTGGTAGTGCACAGCAAGTGGAGAGCTCTCTTCTCTTCAGGGTGATGGGAGTCAGTAACAGAAAGAAACCCACTTAGCACTAAAGGGACTACAGACTAACCAACAGACAGAGGAACAGACCAAAACCACAGACAGAGGAACAGACCAAACCAACGACAGAGGAACAGACCAACCCAACAGACAGAGGAACAGAAAAAAACTACAGACAGAAGGAACAGAAAAACTTGAACCACAGACTAACGGAGGAACAGACTAAGAAGAACCAGACCAAACCAACAGACAGAGGAACAGAGGAACAGACCAAACCAACAAACAGGGGGAAACAGAAAAACCCGAACACAGAAACGAAGAAGGAACAGACTCAAGAGAACAGACCAAACCAACAGACAGAGGAACAGAGGAACAGACCAAACCAACAGACAGAGGAACAGAAAAACCCTGAACCACAGACTAACGAAGGAACAGACTCACAGATGAACAGACCAAACCAACAGACAGAGGAACAGAAAAACCTGAACCACAGACTAATGAAGGAACAGACTCACAGATGAACAGACCAAACCAACAGACAGAGGAACAGACCAAACAACAGACAGAGAACAGAAAAAAACTACAGACAGAGGAACACGAAAAACCCTGAACCACAGACTAACGGAGGAACAGACTCACAGATGAACAGACCAAACCAACAGACAGAGGAACAGATGAACCCCAGACCATGTCACAACCTGCAACAGATCTGAACAGAGAGGATTTCTGCTTGGATTAACACTGCTACACACACACAACTCTCACAACACACACACCACACACACCACACACACACACACACCACAACTCCGCGTCTGACGCACGTCTCTGCTGCTGGAGTGACTGTGTGGCAACGGGGGTGTGAAGTGAGGTTCTGTGTGTCGGAAGACGGTGGGTATGACGCGCGGGAAGAGCTGGCCGTGGAGTGGTCGTTAATGCTGTCTCTCCTCCTCTCTTGTTGCTCACGGTTAAGAACACTGCTGTGTGTCTTGTGTCGTGTGTTCACTATTTCACTACAAAAGTTGGCAATGTGGGCTCAACAAATATTTTATCAGAGTGTGTCGCTGACATTAGAATATAGTAGGAATGTGTGTGGTTACTGTACTGCTACGTGATGAACTCTGGCTCTGAGAGCTTCTTTATTGATCACGATGTGTTTAGCCAACGGGCCACCGCGTGTCCCAGATCACAACACAGTTGGAGTTGATCAGACAGTAGTGTAGAAGAGATAAGGAACTTGAAACTGTGGTGTGTGTGTGTGTTGTGTGTGTGTGTGTGTGGTGTGGTGTGCACACTGCGTATTGGAATGTGTGTGGACCAACCCAGCGAGGTCCATCTGCCCTGTAGCCCCAGAGAGCAAACATTCTGTCACAATGGTATTAGTGTCAACACACGCACACACACATTCATATAAGTGTTGTGTGTTAATGGCCAACCGGTGTAGCTACCCATAATCCCTTGCTCTCCTGCCAGGAGATGGTTGCTGGGACTGAGATCTGACCCAATCACAGCCAAGCCAACCTGGTTACTGTAGCCAGAGCCCTGTTTCTATGGCTATAGATCTGTTTACTATGGTGACAAACTGAATATTTAATGGCGTGTCGATACATTTCTCCTCTCCCCTCCTATCGTCAGCGTCCCCTGTCAGTAGATTGCTGTGAGTTAGTTCTACATGGTCAATGGTTTAACCTATAGCTGTAGCTGTCAAACCTAATCTAATCTGTGGTCAGTAGAGCATGTTTAGAATTCCACACTGACACAGCTTCTTTCTCCACAGTATAGAGGGGAGAGAGAATGAGAGATGGGGAGAAAGACGGAGAGGGGAGAGCGAATGAGAGATGGGGGAGAAAGACGGGAGAGGGGGAGAGAATGAGAGATGGAGTGAGAAAGACGGAGAGGGGGAGAGAAAAGGAGAGATGGGGGAGAAAGATAAGAGAGCAGTTAATGAGCACTGGCTTCCTGTCTTGCTAGCCTGTATTTTGAATGATCATGGCTACGGGTGAATCAGATCCTTGGTGTTGGTCTGTCTCCTGTGTGTATACTGTATCTGTTTTGTTGTTTCTGATTGACTTGACAGGAGAACTTCTCATTGGCCACCGCCAGCAGGACGGAAGTCAAGCACAGCCAATCCTCTTTCTCTGCTGCAGAGAGGGCGGGTGCTTAGCGGTGATGACTCAGCAGAGCTGATTGGCTTAGGGTTAGGACTTGGGGCTGGACTTCCTCTCAGCGTCACCAAGCGTGACCACTCTCACAGAAGACACTCCCACCTGGACTTCGCTGAAGAGGACAATCAGCCAATCAGAGAAGAGCTAACTGGCGGGGAATCTCCGGAACGCTCAGATGACATCATCAAAAGTAGAGTTCCATAACACCGACCGTCCCCTGCCCCCTGACCGCTTGTCTGATTCTTTTTGGCTGATGGCTGTAGCTCAGCCCCTGCAGCAGCGGGCGGGAGACCCCACGGCCTGGACCCTCTCAGACTTCTATGACTACATGTCCCCCGACGACAACATTTCTGCCATAGAAATGACCCTTGACCCTGAGCCAACCCTGAACCCTCCAGCAGACATTGAGGATGAAAAACCCATCGCTCACTGGCCACCACTGTTACCCCCGGCAATGACGACCCCCAGCCCCCATCTCAGTCTCAAACCCCCCCCACCTCCTTCCCTTCTCAGGGGTCAGATGGGTGTGGTCGGGCTTTGTGAGGTCAGAGGTCGGAGGTGAGTGTGTGTCTCAGTGTGATGCACAGCCTGACTTCTGCTACAACAGAGGAGTGTGTGCCATCGATACGGGGATAGGAGCATTCTGCAGGTAATTTAACACAATCCTCAGTGGGAGGAGTTACAAATCTCTTCCTTAGAGTTACAGTACGTGTGTGTATTGGTTGGAGGGGGTGGGGGGGGGGGGGGGGGGGCACGCTTAGTTTGTACACTACAGAACAATATACAGCTGGTGTCTTTCTAACAAAGGACAGAATATAGGACAGATAGACCACAGAGTTAGAATTCTAGATACCCCACTGACCAGCCTGGTCTCATAGACTAGACGTAACATAGTAAATGTAAATCCGGATGTTACGTTTGGTATGGTTACATAAGACAGAAGGTTACTTAAGGCAAAAACGAAAATAGGGTGATTGGTCGGGGTGGATGGTTGGACAACGTTAGCATTTTAGCTAATTAGCAACTACATAGCTTGTTAGCTAACCCTAACCTTAACCCTTTAATCTAACTCCTAACCTTAACCCTTAACCCCTAACCCTAATCCCTAGCCTGGCTAATGTTAGCCACCTAGCTAATGTTACCGTTACCCACCTAGCCAACTGCCAAATTCTCTAAAATGACGTTGGAGGAGGCTTATGGTAGAGAAATGAACATTAAGTTATCTGGCAACAGCTCTGGTGGACATTCTTGCAGTCAACTGCACGCTCCCTCAAAACTTGAGACATCTGTGGCATTGTGTTGTGTGACAAAAACTGCACATTTTAGAGTGGCTTTTTATTGTCCTCAGCAAAAGGTGTTACAAGCGCCGTGCTCTACCAGCTGAGCTACAGGTGCTAAGGTGCTACAAGGTGCACTGTGTAAGATCATGCTGTTTAATCAACTTCTTGATATGCCCACACCTTGTCAGGTGGCATGGATTATCTTGGCAAATTAGAAATGCTCACTAACAGGGATGTAAACAAATTTGTGCACAACATTTTAGAGAAAAACTTTAGTGCATATAGAAATTTCTGGAATCTTTTTATTTCAGCTCATGAAACATGGAACCAACACTTTACATGTTGCGTTTATATTTTGTTCAGTATAAATGCAGATAGTGAGGCAGTTTGTTCTACTGCTGTCTGTCTATTTATTTTAAAGATTCCCTCCTCCTCTCTCTATCCCTCCTTCCCCATCTCTTCCTCTTCTATCCCCCTCTTCACCCCCCTTACTGTACCCCCGCCTTTCCTCTCTCTCTATCCATCCTCCTTCTCTCTTTCCTCATCCCTCCTCTCTCGCTCTATCCCCGCTTTCCTCTCTCTATCCCGCTCCTCTCTCTCTTCCTCTCTTTATCCCCTCCTCACTCTCTCTTCCTGTCTCTATCTCCTTCTCGCTCCGTCTCTTTCTCTCTCCCTATCCTCTCTCATTTTGAAACTTTCTCCCTCCTTTCTCCCCTAGGTGTAATGCTCAGGACATATATGTGGAATAAGGGCTCTCGTTGTGATTGGGTGGGTGACAGTCTTCCAGGTGCTGTGTGTGGTAGTGGGCGTGGCCTCTCGACCCTCATCCTACTCATCATCATCATTGTTTCTTCGCCAAGCCGACTCCACGCTTCAGGACTTTGAGAACAGGCGACTCCGCAAACGCAGGTCATTTGTGTTGTGTTCGTGTGTGTATGTTAGAGAGAGACCTCTTTATTAACGATCGTGGAGATGGACTCATATTTGAGAGTGTAAATGGCTGTGTGCATGCCACGTTTGTCACATCATGAAAATCCATCTCTCCCCTAACCCTCTTTTTTCCCCCACACCTCTCTCCTCTCCTCCCTCCAATCCCTCTCTCTCTCTCCTACCTCCCTCCAGTCTATACCGTCCACAAAGCGAGATGCAGACGGATGGCTTCTCTGTTTCCATGGCGCCAGACAGTTCCCATGCCAACGTAAGGAAGATGTGTGACCCCCCCCCCCCCCAACCAACCCCAACCCCAACCCCACGCTCACAACCTGGCTTACTATGAGAACATTATCTGTCAGATAACTAACCCCTGACCCCTAACCCCTAACCCCTCAACCCCTAACCTTAAGCCCTAACTCTGGCTAGCTGTGTGTCAGTCTGTCTCTGTCCATTAGTCTGTTTGTCTGTAAAATCAGCCTGGTCTCATAGACTAGACGTAACATAGTAAATGTAAATCCGGGAACACTCAAATGAGTATGATACGTTATGTTTGGTATGATTACATAAGACAGAAGGTTACTTAAGGCAAAAACCAAAGTAGGGTGGTTGCTCTGGGTGGATGGGTAGATGTATAACGCGAATGTCTAGCAACCCAAAGGTTGTTTGTGGACAACTTTAGCATTTTTGCTAATTAGCAACTTTGCAACTACTTACTACTTTGCAACTACTTAGCATGTTAGTTAACCTTTCTCCTAACCCTTTAACCTAACTCCTAACCTTAACCTTAACCCCAACCCAGCTAACGTTAGCCACCTAGCTAACGTTAGCCACAACAAATTGGAATTCGTAACATACTATATGTTTTGCAAATTTGTAATGTCTCCTACATCTGCTGTTTCCATCACACATTTGTTTGTTTGTTGCGACATTGCTTTTGTCGAATAAACCTGGGTCAATGGAAACCTGCCTATTGTTTCAACTGGGGCCCTGAGTTTCCCGTGCCAATGAGTTCCCGTGTATTTGAGTTCCGTATTTCAGCCCCTTTGCAGTTAGCCTACTTTTTGAAGCGATTTGTTTGACAATCAGATGAAAACATGACTGGTTGTGTTCATGCCACATTAAGGTAATACATTTTTTACCTTTAAAATACATGTCTTTACTTAAGCCGATAAAAAAATCAAAGTCTTGTGAAAGAAAATGATATAATTTGCGATCTGCTTGACCAGCGTCTTCCACCTCATGGTGAAACTTGAGTTGCACCGAATGATTTCTACCTCATGCACAAATTCTTGTTTTTACTATGACCAGAGAAAGTGAAATAGTCCTTAATATTAAAAGAGACACGAGCCACTAATAATAAAAACTCAGGCCTATCTGGGTCCCCCTGTAGCTCAGTTGGTAGAGCATGGCGCTTGCAACCTCAGGGTTGTGGGTTTGTTTCCCACGGGGGGGCCAGTATGAAAATGTATGCTCTCACTAACTGTAATTCGCTCTGGATAAGAGCGTCTGCTAAATGACTTAAATGTAAATGTATCTGTACACCACTCATTGCAGATACAGTGCTGGTTGTAGAGTGAGTCAAAGTAGGGAGAAGCGCGTTTCTTGGTTTATAAAAGTGTTCAATAAAAACACATTTGAAAGTGTTGAATAAAAACTTGAACACAAACTCACTCATTAAAACAGCAGCCCTTTTCTGTATTCTTTGACAATCGCTCTCTAGTCATGGTTTTGAAAATCTCACCGTAGCCTAACATGCAGTATCAACTTTGTGGAAGCTGCTGCAGACACACGGTGATCTGAGCTATTCGATTGGCCAGCACTAGGCAAATGGGTGCACTTGATTTAGCTCTCCAGGTCCGCCAGGTAGACAATTTGTATCTTCTGAAATGGTTCAAAATGGGACAATTTCGCCAACCCGGCATGCAGGGCAGCTGAATCAAGTGCACCTATCATATAATTGCTGAATAGTCTACTAAACATACATTGCATTCGGAAGGTATTCAGACCCCTTGACTTTTTCCACATTTTGTTACGTTACAGCTTTATTCTAAAATTGATTAAATTAATTATTTTCCTCATCAATCTACACACAATAATAATGACAAAGCGAAAACAGGTTTTTAGAAATGTTTGCACGTTTATTAAAAATAAAAAACAGATATAACTTATTTACATAAGTATTCAGACCCTTTGCTATGAGACTCGAAATTGAGCTCAGGTGCATCCTGTTTCCATTGATCATCCTTGAGATGTTTCTACAACTTGATTGGAGTCCACATGTGGTAAATTCAATTGATTGGACATGATTTGGAAAGGCTCACACCTGTCTATATAAGGTCCCACAGTTGACATTGTATGTCAGAGCAAAAACCAAGCAATGAGGTCGAAGGAATTGTCCATAGAGCTCTGAGACAGGATTGTGTTGAGGCACAGATCTGGGAAAGGGTACCAAAAAATGTCTGCAGCATTGAAGGTCTGCACCATTCTTAAATGGAAGAAGTTTAGAACCACCAAGACTCTTCCTAGAGCTGGCCGCCCGGCCAAACTGAGCAATCGGGGGAGAAGGGTCTTGGTCAGGGAGGTGACCAAGAACCCGATGGTCACTCTGACAGAGCTCCAGAGTTCCTCTGTGGAGATGGGAGAACCTTCCAGAAGGACAACCATCTCTGCAGCACTCCACCAATCAGGCCTTTATGGTAGAGTGGGCAGACGGAAGCCACTCCACAGTAAAAGGCACATGACAGCCCATTAGAAACAAGATTCTCTGGTCTGATGAAGCCAAGATTGAACTCTTTGGCCTGAATGCCAAGCGTCACGTCTGGAGGAAACCAGGTACTGCTCATCACCTGGCCAATACCATTCCTACGGTGAAGCATGGTGGTGGCAGCATCATGCTGTGGGGATGTTTTTCAGCGGCAGGGACTGGGAGACCAGTCAGGATCGAGGGAAATATGAACGGAGCAAAGTACAGAGAGATCCTTGATGAAAACCTGCTCAGGACCTCAGACTGGGGCGAAGGTTCACCTTCCAACAGGACAATGACCCTAAGCACACAGCCAAGACAACACAGGAGTGGCTTCGGAACAAGTCTCTCAATGTCCTTGAGTGGCTCAGCCAGAGCCCGGAATTGAACCCGATCGAACATCTCTGGAGAGACCTGGAAATAGCTGTGCAGCGACGCTCCCCATCCAACCTGACAGAGCTTGAGAGGATCTGCAGAGAAGAATGGGAGAAACTCTCCAAATACAGGTGTGCCAAGCTTGTAGCGTCATACCCAAGAAGACTCAAGGCTGTAATCGCTGCCAAAGGTGCTTCAACAAAGTACTGAGTAAAGGGTCTGGATACTTACAGTATGTAAATGTAATATTTCCGTTTTTTTTTTTTATACGTTTGCAAAAATGCATAAAAACATGTTATGGGGTATTGTGTGTAGATTGATGAGAAACAAACACAATTTAATCCATTTTAGAATAACGCTGTAACGTAATAAAATGTGGAACAAGTCAAAGGGTCTGAATACTTTCGAATACACTGTATATTTAAAAAGACATACAAAAAGGTATGTCGTGGCGTCCCCTCTGACTGGGTCTCCTCTGCCCAGTGCATCACGTTGCGACACTGCTTCAGGCCCACAGCAGCCTCCCCCATCTCCAAGCTCCATACAGGGGGGGGGGGGGGGCACCCAGCACATTAGTAGGGTTTAATGAATTTAGAGCGAATCCAAACAAACTCCTCTGACATTTAGGAATATGCAAACATTCACGCACATGTGCACATGTGTACACACATACACACACAAACACACACACACACCACACACACCACACACACAACACACCACACACACCCACACACACACACCACCAACACACACACCACACACACACCACACACACACACACACACACACCACACAACCACACACACACTTTGTAACTCGTACGAACGGCTGGTCGATTGCTAGCTAAACCCATTTACTGTACTGTCCTCATGACCTAATATGTTCTGCATCAGACAATCAATGTATGGTATGCTATGTGTGTGGATTGTTTCCACGAATGACCCTCAGAAAATGGAGGACCCTGTGAAGTCTCCGTCACTCAAGGGGAGGGTATCTGAACATCGCACACCTCTTCGCGAAACATACTGAAAACAACCACCCCACCCAATCTCTGACCACACCCTAAACACAACACGAGGAGGGAAAGAGAGAGGAAAGGCCAAAAACGCCTCCCCCGCATACGACGGTAGACGAAGAAGAGGAGGGAGGAGCGGAGACCACCAGGACACGAGGAAGGGGCAACAGAAGACAAGAGGACGAGACACGGAAGGGCCGACACGGGACGAGAGAGACGGGAGAGACAAAGAAGAGACGACACGGCCACGAATACATGAGAAAGAGGAGATAAACAGAAAACAAAATATACGACACTGCACTAGATACATTAGAATAGACTATAAGAACGATACTAAAGAATAACGACACAGTCACATAATATAAAATAAACTATAATATAACAATACTACACTTCTATATAATACACTAGACTATACAAAAATACTATACTACACTCACTATAATACACTAAATACACTATACTGGCGATACTATAATAGACTGATACGAACACACTTACTATAATATACGAACTACGCCTCACATAATACACTATACCACACTATACATAATATAACTATAGACACTTACTAGATATACTATACTATAATATACTACACTTCACTATAATACACTATACCACACTATACTACACATAACTATAATTAAGCAATAAGTCCCGAGGGGGTGTGGTATATGGACGGAACGCAGAGTGCCTGGACACAGCCCTTATTTTTAATCTTTTTATTTTGTATTTATTTATTTATTTTAAAATTTGGACACAGCCCTTAGCTGTGGTATACTGGCAATATATCACAAATCCCAGAGGTGCCTTATTTCTATTATAAACTGATTACCAATGTAATTAGAGCAGTAAAAATTAACGTTTTGTCATACCTGTGGTATACGGTCTGATATACCACGGCTGTCAGCCAATCAGCATTCAGCGCTCGAACCACCCAGTTTATAATATACTATAATATACTACACGTTACTATAATATACTATACTACACTTTATTATATTAATACTACACTATACTAGGATCCTGGAAAGGAACTGTTGAGGCCTTTGGCTCCACTAGGAGCTAAAAGGAATCAGCCAAATTATACTACTGTATACTATGCTATACTATACTACAGGGATCATCAACTAGATTCAGCAGCGGGACGATTTTTTGTTGAGCGGATGATCTGGGGGCCGGAACATACAGTGAGGGGAAAACAGTATTTGATCCCCTGCTGATTTTGTACGTTTGCCCACTGACAAAGACATGATCAGTCTATAATTTTAATGGTAGGTTTATTTGAACAGCAAGAGACAGAATAACAACAAAAAAATCCAGAAAAACGCATGTCAAAAATGTTAAAAATTTATTTGCATTTTAATGAGGGAAATAAGTATTTGACCCCTCTGCAAAACATGACTTAGTACTTGGTGGCAAAACCCTTGTTGGCAATCACAGAGGTCAGACATTTCTTGTAGTTGGCCACCAGGTTTGCACACATCTCAGGAGGGATTTTTGTCCCACTCCTCTTTGCAGATCTTCTCCAAGTCATTAAGGTTTCGAGGCTGACGTTTGGCAACTCGAACCTTCAGCTCCCTCCACAGATTTTCTATGGGATTAAGGTCTGGAGACTGGCTAGGCCACTCAAGGACCTTAATGTGCTTCTTCTTGAGCCATTCCTTTGTTGCCTTGGCTGTGTGTTTTGGGTCATTGTCATGCTGGAATACATTTTACATTTTAGTCATTTAGCAGACGCTCTTATTCAGAGCAATTTACAGTTAGTGAGTGCATACATTATTTTTTATTTTTTTATTTTTTTTCATACTGCCCCCCCGTGGGAATCTAACCCACAACCCTGGCGTTGCAAACGCCATGCTCTACCAACTGAGCTACATCCCTGCCTGCCATTCCCTCACCTACCCTGGGCCAATTGTGCGCCGCCCCATTGGTCTCCCGGTCGCGGCCGGCTACGACAGAGCCTGGATTCGAACCAGGATCTCTCATGGCACAGCTGGAATTAGACCAATGCGCCACCCATGGGTACCCATCCACTACCAATTTTCAATGCCCTGGCTGAGGGAAGGAGGTTCTCACCCAAGATTTGACGGTACATGGCCCCGTCCATCGTCCCTTTTGATGTGGTGAAGTTGTCCTGTCCCCTTAGCAGAAAAACACCCCCAAAGCATAATGTTTCCACCTCCATGTTTGACAGTGGGGATGGTGTTCTTGGGGTCATAGGCAGCATTCCTCCTCCTCCAAACACGGCGAGTTGAGTTGATGCCAAAGAGCTCCATTTTGGTCTCATCTGACCACAACACTTTCACCCAGTTCTCCTCTGAATCATTCAGAAGTTCATTGGCAAACTTCAGACGGGCCTGTATATGTGCTTTCTTGAGCAGGTGGACCTTGCGGGCGCTGCAGGATTTCAGTCCTTCACGGCATAGTGTGTTACCAATTGTTTTCTTGGTGACTATGGTCCCAGCTGCCTTGAGATCATTGACAAGATCCTCCCGTGTAGTTCTGGGCTGATTCCTCACTGTTCTCATGATCATTGCAACTCCACGAGGTGAGATCTTGCATGGAGCCCCAGGCCGAGGGAGATTGACAGTTCTTTTGTGTTTCTTCCATTTGTGAATAATCGCACCAACTGTTGTCACCTTCTCACCAAGCTGCTTGGCGATGGTCTTGTAGCCCATTCCAGCCGTGTGTAGGTCTACAATCTTGTCCCTGACATCCTTGGAGAGCTCTTTGGTCTTGGCCATGGTGGAGAGTTTGGAATCTGATTCATTGATTGCTTCTGTGGACAGGTGTCTTTTATACAGGTAACAAGCTGATATTAGGAGCACTCCCTTTAAGAGTGTGCTCCTAATCTCAGCTCATTACCTGTATAAAAGACACCTGGGAGCCAGAAAACTTTCTGATTGAGAGGGGGTCAAATACTTATTTCCCTCATTAAAATCCAAATCAATTTATAACATTTTTGACATTTGTTGTTATTCTGTCTCTCACTGTTCAAATAAACCTACCATTAAAATTATAGACTGATCATTTCTTTGTCAGTGGGCAAACGTACAAAATCAGCAGGGGATCAAATACTTTTTCCCCTCACTGTAATTACAAATAATTTGTAAACTGCAAATTGACTGCAAAAAGCCCAAACAGACATAATGTTTGACTAAAACATAATCATTTCAAACCTTGCTTACATTTTTATATGATCATGTCTCTCTATTAAGCATGGGAAAACTTGGGAACAGATTTCTTGAATTAAAATCACTTGGAGCTGATTTCCTGGTGTTTTTACAGTCTTTTATGTCTAACAATGAAGATTAAAAAATATATATAAAACCGCCAAATAAAACCAACCGCCATTTGGGGAACCCTGCTTAACCACCCATACATAACATGATGTACCACTACTGACCACACGGGGGCGATGCTGCCTCTTTGCGCTGCAGCACTGTAGCAACCCTGAACTAAACTGTCTCTGACTGGACAAACAATCCTCTCCCACAATGCCCTGCTCTGACCTTTGAACTCTGACAGTTTACTGCTGTCCCCCCTGACCCCTCCCCCTTTGTCCACGTCCAAAATAAAAATGTATACCGTTTATAGTGCACCACTTTTGGCTAGAGCTCTGGTAAAAAGTAGTGCACTATGTTGGGAATAGGGTACCATTTCAGATCTTTTGTCTGCATGCGTTGCTGTTTTCTACTAAAACAGTTATTTATGGAAAATCCTTATAAACAAGATTAATAAGAAATAGAAAAGAGTTGAGATACTTTGATGTTTGATATGAACCGATGAATATGTATGCGGTAGGTATCATGGGGTAAAGCTACTGTGTTGCCTGGCTTGCTAATATTGATATATTTATGGTTTCTATTGATGTGGGTTATTAGAACACTATAATGTACTTGAGTTTTTTAAAAACTTTTTTTGTTAGAATACATAATTATAGCATTGGAACCAGAGTTGTTGAAATAAAACTGTAACTTTAAATCACTTGCCCCTGTGTGTTCCTGGAATGGCCTTCTCTCCCTCTCTTCCTCTCTCTTTCTCTCCCTCTCTCCCTCTCTTCCTCTCTCTTTCTCTCCCTCTCTGCCTTTATTGTTCTCTCTCTCTCTCTCTCTCTCCGTATCTCTCTCTCTCTCTCTCTCTCTCTCTCTCTCTCTCTCCCTTTCTCTCAATTCAATTCAATTTAAGGGCTTTATTGGCATGGGAAATGTATGTTAACATTGCCAAAGCAAGTGAAGTAGATAATAAACAAAAGTGAAATAAACAATAAATATTAACAGTAAACATTACACTCAGAAGTTCCAAAATAATAAAGACATTCTCTCTCTCTCTCTTTCGCTCTCTCTCTCGCTCTCTCTCTCTCTCTCTCTCTCTCTCTCTCTCTCTCTCTCTCTCTCTCTCTCCCTTAGCTTTCCTTGGCTGATTTTGCATGGCTTTATTAACATTGTTGAGCAGCTAACTACACACACACACACAGCTAACAGTGCCGTGGACTCAATGTACAATAAGTCTTTATCTCTATCCTCTATCCTCCATCTCATTTTCTATTATTTTATCACACCTGTTCTCTTTCTTAACCCTCATTGTCAATTTCTCCTTTCCCTCTACAGTATCTCAACCATCTCTTTATCTCTATAATGTCTACCGTCTGCCTCTCTATTCTATATTTCTACGGCAGGGCGGAGTCACCATCGGTCTGCAGTTGCTCCTCCCTAAAGAGGCTAAGCTCCGCCATGAGGCCAGCCCCCCTCTGCACTACAACGTCTTCCTCTACAAGAAGGGGACCGGTCCCTCTACTACTATTAATACTACTGCCACTAACTACACCAACCACAAAATGGCTGCTGCTAGGAACCACTCTAACCGTAACATACTGCCCACTAGCAACTCCAATAAGTCTAACCCTAACATTAACCATAACACCAATAAACACTCACAGCTCTCCCAGAATCACGTTCCTCCTCATCGTCACCCTCACACTTCCCCCTCCTCCCATCACAGCTCCCCCTGTTTTACCCCTCCTCAGGGAACACTTGCCTCCTCCCATCATGCCTCCCCCCATCACCCGCCCTACCAGCCCTCCCCCAACCACCATAGCTCTGCCTTCCCCCCCTCCCCCCCTCCCCCGCTCCAGAGACACACCTCACCCCCAGGTCCCTCTACATCCCTCCCCCTCCTCACCCATTCTCTGCCATCCCACCTCCCCCCAGCCAAATACAACCCTATCAGCACCTACTCACTGTGTTAACCCCT